ACTTATAAGTAATATAACTACCACTGACCCAGCCTTCTAGTTAACTTTGTTTAACCCATTGGCCTAAACTTCAAATAGCAGTAAGTTAAAGAGAAAATAAAACAAGAGAGAAAGAGAGTGACACATTTATAAAACAAAAAATTGAGCAATACAAATTGTAACTCAGACAAAATAAATTAAACGACTAAGAGTAAAAGTTACAATAAAAATATGAAGATAAACCTAACTCAGACATACAAAGTTGACGGTTACGGCTGAAATACACAATAAAAAATTTCGTTTGTTCCGCACACAATAGCTGTTATACACCATAATAATTAGTGTGCATGATACACCAAAGATTAATGTTGTCCGTTGTAATGTTATTAGCCAACCATCTATACCTGGTTAGTGTAAAATTCACACTAAACATTAACAATGTAGTCTATGTTAAACTTCATAGAAAAGGAAAAATGATTGTGCTTTACAAATCTTAGTATTGGATATTTCAACGGTGTCACAAGACTCCTAACAACACAGTTTGGTGAAAGTGGAAAAGATACTGTATAAGAATGGTAATGGTGAGAAAAATATTCAGTTTCTAGTAGCTGATATACTATGTAATAAGTATCTGTGTTGATAACTAATGTATCTTCAATAACACCAAATTTTGTAATTGGTTCAGTACTATCTACAACTAAATTTTTCTGAAACACTCGGTTCGATAGTTTTATCTTAGACAGCCTATGATAGATGAGCGAAAAAAATGGTTATATACATACTGTACATACAAGTACCTGTAATGAGTTTTGCAGGATTAAAAAGAAAATTAAATGAGTATGGAAGAGTTAAATGAAACTTCTGACAATCATGGATCAGTTTCCACATCGTTCTCAATAAATGCACTATCACTATTTAAGTAATGGCACATTAGCCTCTGATGATGGAAAGTTGATGTTTTTGGTATATTCTTAAAACACTTCACTCGTCTAGCTATATTGTTAAAGAAGGAATGCTTTCCTTCAAACCTTAGTGACCAGTAATGACAAAGAGGACCACACCTACATAAACGACAATTGTATTGTTATTATTACTACTGTATATGATTAATAAAAAAAATGTACAATATTTTATTGCAGCTTTAGCAATGTAATTATTATTGATTACATGTATTTTTGCCATTTTTTAGGCAAAAGTTTGACTCAAATACTGGTCTCATCATGTTCAAGAATTCTTTACTCAGTTTTAATCCATTTTAAAAAGTTTAGTAAGTTCATTGCATGTCACTGTTGGGAAAAATATTGAAAAAATTAGATATTGTAGAAAATGTCTAAGAAACAATTTGTGTCCCGAAATCTAAATTTTGGGTTCACCCCATTGTACCTTAAGAAGGACAAAAACTGTCTCTTATAAACCTATGTAGCATTGCAAATGCTTAGAGTCAGGGTTCCTGACAAGATTTGGCATAGTGCTGATACAGCTTCTTATCAATTAATGGATCATCAAGTTGCTTTAAAAATTGAGCCAAACACCCTGTACTGTATATAGCAAGGTTGCCTAATTTGTGGCAGCCATTTTGTTAGGAAGTGAATCCAACATAGTAACACTATTGCATTACTAATACAGGGACACTGATTAAATTTAATCAATAATAATAACAAGAAGAGAATCCATTAATTTTACCACGTTTTCTGATGCATATACATGTGCATAGAAAATTTTAGCCAATTCAGATGAAATTTAGATTTTTTATCAATTTGAAAAATTGAGTGAAACATTTTGTAGTATTATGGTATGAAGAAAAAATTGAGTCCAGTACTTTCAATTTTCTCTATTACATACATACATGTACAACAACATTTACCAAATTGTATCAAAAATACAAAGAGGGAATTTTATCAATATTACAATGTTTTCCGATACACATTCATGTATTTATGTTGCGTAGAAATTTTGCATTGAAAATGAAATTTCGAAATTAATTTTTAAAGTTATTGCAATGTCATGTACTGCAATGTGGTGGTAGTTGGCTGGCAAAGCTCATGCTGTTCAGCTTACTTAGCATACTTTGTTGGAAACCCTGTGTAGACTACATGATTGAGAACTGTGGAACCTCATGGATATATGTGTATTGTATATCAAGTCTGAGACATTTCATGTACATGCAAAAAACTTCATGTTGTTTAGTTATAATTACTACCATAGACAAGGCACTTTGGGAGTACAATTATAATAACATTCCTATGCACTGTTGATTGACATGCAACACAAACTCAAACTACATGTGTGTATTACAACATTGTTAAAACAAACTTAAGTTTTGCTTCTCAATGAACTTTAATTGGCAAGGCCTAAATATTTTTCTCAGCTATAAATTCCTTTATACAGGTACAAGATTATAGGCAAAGCCTTACTACTACAGGTACAGTTACACTGTATCAGACCTAAGCAATATCACTAATACTGTACTGATGTCAAAACAATAAAATGTTTAGCAGGGACCACATAAAAAGTCGTTAGGGTTTCCGCATGTAGATAGACCCCACTCTATATTAAGCATGGTAAATCATCCCACAATGGGTTTGACGATTTAAAAAAAATGTAATTAATTCACGAATACAATTAAACAATCATTTACATGTACATTACTAGTCTATAATTTGCGCTACCACAGAATGAATGTGCCAATGGTACAATGCAGTATTTATATAGTAACCAAGTTACGAATCCTAATGTCACGAAGTTTTATTAAACTCAGTTGAATCATTATACAATGGCAGACACTATGCAACTGAAGGGTAATATCTACTTACCAATAACTGAACTGCATAATGCAAAGACAATTAAAGGAGCTTGTGAGCCCAGAGCTGTGTGAGTGTCACCATATCAGGAGCTGGTTGCAGCAGACATATTTGCATGCTTTAATATCCATTATGACAATTTGCCCTGTCTAATTTTTCTATTGATTAACAAGCCTCCACATGCACAATAGCCCCAGGTAATACTTGACCTATCTCCTGATAACTGGCTGGTTAATTAATGCGAAGCTGGTGATAGGCAGGTACTTTGGGTGTGTATTTTGTCATAGATATTCTCCTGTCAGAGATGATGCATTGTGAAACATGGAATTCAATTAAAGTATCCTAAACAGATGCAAGGCGTGAGATACTCTCCTAGCTTCATTGGTCTTCTTGTTACCATTTCTGCTACCATAGCTGCTGGGTAGAGTGCTCTTCAAGGTCGCTCTACATTCTAAAGGTTAACTCGAGCACCATATCGAGGATGTTGGAAGGCCGCCATTTTGTGACAGCACTCATTAATTTATTAATTTTGTCACTTGACCACATTAGAGTCACCACTATTAATTTTACCATAGTAAGTAATATTAGTCATACATAAACTGAAAATATATTTAGTAGTTATCACAGTTCATTACTAGCTACAATTCAAGTAGTCTACCAATCAATACACCTCCAGATACTACCTGTTTCTGCTGCATAATAAATTGTGGTTTCTTCTAATTTCGATAATAAGGTACTTTAACTGGCTTTATAAAATTATGTATAATAGATATAATTTTAGATTATGCTGAAATGTATTTGACAACACTGTTGTTACGGATGAGACTACGATTGTCCCCTGGACCATTATTCAGGTATGATGTTTAAGCATATTTGGAAGACTTATTGAAACTGACTTAACATTGATTTTACTACTATTGTAACATTACATTTATTTATTGGCTTACCGTTATTTTAGCAAGAAGATGAGAATGGGAAGTTTTTTTCTTGTCTTTAAGAATACTTTCTTCCTTGTCTTTCTTCCTTGTCTTTAAGAGGAAAGATACTACAGTACAAAAGAGGAGTGCACCAGGTAATTAAGTTGTTGTTGCTATTAATATTATATTTATTATTAGTTACTCGTACACAAAAAGAGAGTCAGAAACATACAATACGAAAAAGAAGTGCACCAGGTAATTAAACTGTTGTTGTTGCTATTATTATTATTATTATTGTTATTATCATTATTAGTTACTCGTACACTAGGAGAGAATCAGAAAGATTGAGTACAACAGAGAATTGCACCAGGTAATTCAATTGTTGTTGTTGTTATTACTATTATTATTATAATTATTATTATTATTATGGCAGTGACTACAGAACCGTAAACGGTTTCTGTTGCGAAGTGCTTAATGAGCTGGCATCCCGTTTTTCTCTGTAAAATAACCTTGTGCGCATGCGCATAAATGCAAATTTGAACATAGTTTTTATCGTGGATTCCTGAACTGGAGGACACTCTAAAATAGAAAAAACTAAACCGTATACCCGACCTTGGGAACATAACTAGGGGACTCCTAAAGTGACTAGTGACGCTCTAAAAAAACCGCCACTCTAACCCCTAAACCCTAAAAACAATAGCTAACTATGGGACTCCTAACATAACTATGGGACATGCTAACTAGGGGACTCCTAACCTAGTGGAAAAGGTAAAAATGAAATTTTATGTAAGTAATAACAGTAAAAATGTAGATAAATGAGATTCGAACCATCACCGCCTTACGTCCAAATGTAGCATTCAGCTCCCTGTAGCTTGCCCGCTGTGCCACCACAATCTCACTGCCAAAATTCACCATGTTGTCATAATTATAATGATTGCTCCTATATAGGGGCGAAGCCCCTATAGGGGGCCAGGCCCCCTACTGGCTCTATAAGCTGTTGTTAAAGGAAACCGTTTTACAGCGCAGGAGCCACAGCCTATTATTATTATTATTATTATTATTAATATTATTATTAGTTATTCGTACACAAAGAGAGAGTCAGAAAGATTGTACAGTACGAAAGAGAAGTCCACCTAGTAATTAAATTATTGTTGTTTTTATTATTATTATTATTATTATTATTACTTTATTATTATTGTTGTTATTAGTTACTCGTATACAAAGAGAGGGTCAGGAAGATAGTACAGTACAAAAGAGGAGTGCACCAGGTAATTAAGTTGTTGTTCTTGTTGTTATTATGTTCATTGTTATCAATATTAGTTACTCGTACACAAGGAGAGGATCAGAAAGATACAGTACAGAAGAGAAGTGTACCAGGTAACTAAATTGTTTTTGTTGTTATTATTATTATTATAATCATTATTAGTTACTTGTGCACAAAGAGAAGGTCAGAAAGAAAGTACAGTACAAAAGAGAAGTGCACCACGTAATTAAATTGTTTTTGTTAATATTATTATTACTGTTATTATTAGTTATTCGTACGCAAGGAGAGGGTCAGAAATATAGTACAGTACAAAAGAGAAGTGCACTAGGTAATTTAATTGTTTTTGTTCTTGTTGTTATTATTATTATTGTCATTATTAGTTCTTCGGAGAGAGTCAGAAAGATTTTACAGTACGAAAGAGAAGTGCACCTTGTAATTAAACTATTGTTGTTATTATTATTATTATTATTATTATTACTATTTACTCATACACAAAGAGAGGGTCAGAGAGATAGTACGGTACTGTACACAAGAGAGTGAACCAGGTAATTAGTTATTATCATTACTATCATTATTAGTTACTCATACACAAGGATTGGGTCAGAAAGATATTACAGGGAAAAAGAGAAGTGCACCAGGTAATTGAATTGTTGTTGTTATTATTATTATTAATACCGTATTTCCTCGTGGAAACGCCTACTCCCTATAAACGCCCATGCCTGTATAAACGCCTAGAGACAGCATATAACTTTGACAGTAAACGCCCATGCTTGTTTAGACACCCATTCTTGATTAAAAGCTTATACCACACCCACCTGCCCCATCCACGTGGTACATGTACCTTACATGGTCTACATTCTACAATGGCAGCTGCAGCTAAGAAGGCTAAGGAAACTCATAGAAGTTTTGATGTCAGTTTTAAACTACACATTGTGTCTATTGAAACATGGCGGTAAGGATTATTTTTGGTTATAAACACCCACCTCTTATAAACACCTACTTCATTTAAATGCCTGGCAAATGGGTCTCTATAATAAATAAACGCCTAGGCATTTACATAAGGAAATACAGTACTATTATTATTAATTATTCATACACATAGATAGTGTCAGAAAGATTGTACAGTAGTGCACCAGATAAGTAAGTTATTGTTGTTATTATTATTATTATTGTTATTACTTACTTGTACACAGAGAGAGGGTCAGAAAGATGGTAAAGTACAAAAGAGGAGTGCACCAGCTAATTAAGTTGTTGTTGTTATTGTTATTGTTATTGTTAATATTATTATTAGTTACTCGTACACAATGAGAGAGTCAGAAAGATTTTACAGTATGAAAGAGAAGTGCAGCAGGTAATTAAATTATTGTTTTTATTATTATTATTATTGTTATTGTTATTAGCAAGAGTGGATAATTATTTAGGGAGAGTATCTAACGTGCCTATAATCTGTCATACCACAGCGCGTATGTTTACATAGCAACGATAGCATGGTAATTAGCACCAAGTAGGCATTCTTGCGTCCTTATAATTATTCATTCCAAGTCTGAAAGCTGCAAATATGAAATAGCCAACCATTAGAAGAACATATTCCTGTATGCTCCTCATTTCTCACACTACATGATCTTCACAGTGGAGATATAAGTCTTAAAGTTGCCTGCATGCTTCAGGCACCATTTTATTAACCACACCCATAATTTTGAAAATTACTGGGATTATCTCCGTACACTTGCAAAAAACGGATGTAAACATACGCGCTGTGGTGTCAGAGAATATAGGCAGGTTAGACCCTCTCCCTAAATAATTATCCAGTCTTGTTATTAGTTACTAGTAAACAAAGAGAGGGTCTGAAAGATAGCACAATACAAGAGGAGTGCACCAGGTAATTAAGTTGTTGTTATTATTATTGTTATTGTTATTTTTATTATTAGTTACTCGTAAACAAAGAGAGTCGGAAAGATTGTACAGTATGAAAGAGAAATGTATCAGGTAATTAAATTATTGTTATTATTGTTATTAGTTACTAGTAAAGAAAGAGAGGGTCAGAAAGATAGTACAGTACAAAATGCACAGGGTAATTAAGTTGTTGTTGTTATTATTAATATTGTTATTATTATTTTTATTATTAGTTACTCATACACAAAGAGAGAGTCAGAAAGATTGTACAGTACAAAAAAGAAGTGAACCAGGTATTTAAATTGTTGTTGTTATTATTTTTATTGTTGATATTATTTTCATTATTAGTTATTCGTACAGAAAGAGAGAGTCAGAAAGATTGTACAGCATGAAAGAGAAGTGCACCTAGTAATTAAATTGTTGTTGTTATTATTATTATGATTATCATTATTATTATTATTAGTTACTCGTATTCAAAGGGAGGGTCAGAAAGATACATTAGTACACTACAAAAGAGAATTGACGTCAGATTAGACTATATTCATAAAATTAATGATATTCATAGTTAACGTAAGTATATTCATTAGCGCAATAACTATATTCATTGCTGAACATTAATGCTTTGGCTTTCTTGAAATGGCATTTTAAAAATCACTACAAAATGAGCGAAAAGAAACTCCATCAGGTAATAGAAAAAAGTAGTGTTATGACACACGATCAATAAAATGATAAATTTGCAGGTTATTTATATGTTTAAATCCATGTCTGACAAATGCCACTGAACACAAGGCAAATGAGAATATCAGCTTCAACTGCAACTGAATCTACAATGAAAAAAGGGAATAAATTTGCTTAGTAATTACAACAAGTTCATAAAGTATGAAAAGTTATGCAGCAATTTTTTTAATATTTAAAGTTCAATGATTTATAACTTCTAAACAGTTCATTGTAAAAGTTTAAAACAAGCACAAGTTGTACAACTTTTTATTTCCTTTAAAATGGCAATAATTAAAAAAATTTTAAAATTTCATCCAAAGTTCCTTAATAGAGTCAATACCAGATATATCGCAATTTACCAGTGGACTGTTATATTAAATTAATTTAAACTTGGCTGGTATGGTCTGCTGGTCTTAATATTCTATGGGAGAACAGCGTTAAGAACTCCTGAAATGTCACTTTCTGTTAGTCAAAGGCTCTTTTAGGGAGATTGCAGCTAGGAGTTGGTACTTATCGTCAGTGGTTTATTTTGGCCAGATTTGGTTCCAATTGTTGCTTCACTGTGTTTCTCAGGTAACTAGTATTGAATCAAAAAGCTAAATGAATGATGCTTTTGTTCTTTCCTTAACCCTTTGTTATAATAATGATTTTGTTTTGGATAGCATTGCATGGTAAATCTAGATTAAATTCTTAGAAGTTATAAGTACTTCCAACACTACTATATATCTTGGAATCAATGTGAGATGCATGTACCTTCAATAACACTTCATTTTCTGTAAACTTAGTTATTGGATGTTGCATCCAATGTTCTACTGGTGTAAAATGTCATCAAAGTTTGCAGTAATTTAGTTACTTTATAGACAATAAAATATTTTAACAAAAATGAGTGTTTGTGTTTATGTGGACGTCTCACGCACAAACTAGTTCCACACCTTTGTTTTTAAAAAGAGATCCATAGTTGGTTTGTGCAGGTTTTACAAACGAGTTCCTCTCCTTTAAGGGATCAATAGCTTGAAGTTCCATTCCTTATTCAGGGGATCAATAGTTCAAGTTTTTGGGTGTTCAAACTAGTTCCACTCCTGCTTCAGGGCATCACTAGTCAGTTTGTTGTCAACAAGCTAGTTCCTCTCACGTTGAAAGCGAAGTAAAGCATGTGCATTACACAAACTCTTTTCTGTTATTCATTTACCGATTGCATGGACAAGTTCTATTACGACCGAATCGATCACAATTACCACATTTTCTTTGTGTTGCAGGTGGTTCTAAAGATTGCCTTGGAGAATGTGGTACTTTGATATCCATTGTGAGGTCTGGTGGATCATCTACATCTAGTGCTAATTGTTGGGATAATCTCATTGGTTGAGATGCATCAGGAAGTTGGCAGGTTTTATCTTTCAATTTGTATAAACTATTATTTAATGAAGGTACCATTTCCTTTTACTTGACATACCCTTTGGTGGTAATACATTAGGTAAATCATCTTCCATTATTTGAGCGTCTACTTTCAGCAAATTCAATGGGCTGCAACTAAATCAAGTGAGGTTGCATTTACAAAAAGTGTTGAAGGACTTTGATGCCTTTTACTTTCTTGAATAATGTAGCAAAGTCACTTGACCAGTCAAATGTTTCTACATTGAGTTCACCATTGCCACTTCCTACTGGTTGGGCTTTGTTAACAGCAGATGATTGTTCTACAACTTAAACAAAGTCCTCCAATGAGTGCACCTCAACTTTACGGAATGTTTGCTTTAAGGTACTTTTGGATGAAATTTTAATATTTTTTTAATTGCTGCCATTTTATAGTAAAGAAAAAGTTGTAATACTTGTGTTATTTTAAAATTTTTACTACGCACTGTTTAGAAGTTATAGATCATTTAACTTTTAATATTAAAAGAAATTCCTGCATAACTTTTTATACTTTATAAGCCATCTTTGATCTTGTGTCATTTCTGAATACCTCCGAATATTATAAAACTGGCAGGAAAAATTAATTGCAAGGTAAAGTTAAGTTATGACATCATATTAGTCAAACCATTAATAAAAATGGCCACCAGTATGTATTTCCTGACTATTGTTTATTTAGCTGTTTCATCTGGTGAATGCATGCTCTACGAAGCTCTAAAGCTTGCAATCATGGCATAATGAAGGCAAACACTCAATCAAGTTTGTATGCAGTAAATGCTTTTGTGATACACTGATGTTTGAAAGTCAACAAAACTTTATGAGAGATTGCAGCCCATTTTGCAAAACTTGAAAAACTTTTGCCAAATGATGCCACATACGTCAATAGAAAATAATATTATGAACACAATGATGTTACTAAAAATTAAAGTACTCTCATCATGTTCAAGAATTCTTTACTCAGTTTTCATCCATTTTACAAAGTTTAGTAAAGTTTATTGAATCTCACTATTGAGAAAAAAATTGAAAAAAATATATATTGTAGAAAAAGTATTAAAAAAACAATTTGTGTTTCGAAATTTAAATTGTGCGTTCAGCCCGTTGTACCTTAAAAGGCCAAAGTACCAATCTGGAGAAATTTTTGTGCCTAACTCGCAGAAAAGATATTGAAATGGACGCATTAAGTCCTGTGATTACTTTCCATATGAGGTACTAAAGTAAATAAACAATTATATTTTAAATGTTACATAGTTGTGCATGCATTATACTTATTTCAATAACTTTTACTTAATGTTGCCCTGTGCAGTTGTCAGCATTGAAATGAATATTGACTGAGTTGAGGCCATGATTCTTGAAATAAAAGTGTACCATGCTTATGACAGGATCTGGCTCTTTACCAGTGTTAAATGATTCATCGATCAAGAAATGAACCATTTGAGGGTTAGCTGCACAGCACACCCCAAATATCCCACATTTTCTGGGAGCAAGAGTAGGTGATTATCTGCTCTTGCTGGGAGTAAGAAAAAAATTTGACCTGCTTGTAGTGGACTTGAAGGATGGTGAACCCATTGAAAAAGTAAGCAAGGTATATACACTTCAATATCATCAGATGTTACCACTTGAGCATACTCAATGCTTTATTGTGCTACAATATTTAACATGGCAAGTGGCCTTCTTAATGATGGATTGTAATTATCTGCTGCATCAGTATACAGCCCTTTTAACAATAATTATGCCTCTTTTAATATATCCTTATAGTACTTCCTTTTCTTTTTAACAAGACTTCAGTCATGTAGTGCCTTTTGCATTTCCTGAAAATAATAAGTAGAATATTGTGTTACTATGGTACTAATTTACCTCTTACCTCAGTGGCACACAAATCAGGCTTAGGCTTCATTTTTTCAATGCAAGGCAGGTAGCACTGTCACGACATGTTGAATGTTCTTTTAGCACATTCTTTGACATGGTGAATACATGAGACATGTGCTGTCATAGTGAAGTTGACACTTTAGGCTTGCATACACAGTCATTTCTTTATTTTTGTTTGGCTAATATAGAAGTTCCTCAGTAACCAGAGGATATTTTTGTCTAAGTACTGTAGAGAAAAGAAACTTTCGATATGTTTCTTTTATCAAATACCATAATAGCACGTTATGGAATAGCAGGAACTTTTTGAGGGAGTTAAATTTGGTGAATTGCTAGATTTTGGTGATTGGCAAATTTTAATTTGGTGTATTATTGGCCACAAGCCATTGACCATGAGTATAATGGCAGGTAAAAGGCTATCAAAATGCCAAATTTGCCTACTTTAATTCCCACCAAAATATCATTATACTGATTTTAGTACAAATGAAATTAAAATAATTAATTATACAGAAACAAATATGAACAATATGGCGAAGGAGCACATTATAAAAAGGACAAAAGTAAAATTTTGTTTGCTAAATGTATATTCGAGTCTTGTTTAATAAGTTATTATTATATGCAATTAGGCTTGTGACAATATATGGTAGACTTTTTTCATATTTATAATTATTATTAATGATTCTGTTCTTTATTATTTATTTTGCTGTATAGATCACTCTACATTTCAAAACTTTCTATTATTGTGCTTTTACATTTACATTTCAAATATTGCATAATATTGAATCCTTTCCCTTTTTGGTGTTTCTGAGTCTTTATTATTATGATGAAATGCATAACCATGTCTAGATTGCTACATAAAAACATTTTTCTAATGAACTTTTTTTTCTCTTGCTGTAGTGATAACAATTACATTACGGTTTCGCCTTTCTTTTCTCGTTTCTGTCTTTCTCTTCCAATTTCCCCTATCATAGACTCTACAGTTTACAGTTATTTTTTGATACATTTAATTATTTCAGTCGACTCAAGTACTATATGCATTTTCCTACTCTCATTGCTATGATGAAATGCTTACTTTACTGATTCACTGTGTTTCTAGTCACATGTATTTTGGGTAGATTACACTTTACTGGCCCCAAGCAAATTCACCATTTTACTGTGTTTGCGTCACAGGATGTGGTTACATACGTCACAAGCACCACATTCAAATCATACATCACGTGATCCAAAAACAAAATGGCGACCATTTTCATTCTAACCAATGCAATTGTACTAGATGACATTTATGCTATATGCAGCAAGCCAAGACAAGAGATATGCAAATGGCTGTGAAGGAAAGGGGTGCTAGGAGACTTTACTGATCATGACTGTCCTAAGTGCTGTAATGGGAGGATGAGGCTGACAAAGGACACTTCTTTTTCACAAGATCTTATTATTATGTAAATTTTCATAAAATGCACAAAAACTCAAGTAGGCTGTGAGGGTTTAGGGTTTAGGGTTTAGTGTTTAGTATTTAGT